GATTTGATTTTAGGGGAAAACAGCCAATGAACTCAATTGTATGCTGTTGCCTGCTGTGTAGCACTTTTATAGCCCACCAACTAGATGTCTTCAAGTCACCAGTGTCTGGCCCTGACTTCCTTCCTACCATCATCCCAACAAAGAATGAACTCTGACTAAACCAGACAAGCTCAGCAGTGACCAGATGAGTTCCACAGTGTCATCAGCAGGAAACAATCCAAACTGCACACTCTCTCTCCTGCTCTGAAAGACTGTTACGAGACATGGAGCCCGACATCATGGACGAGATGAACTCAGCAGCTTTATGGGGATTGGTCCATGCGTTAAAGAATATGCATTCACAACTTTCCTGGGCAACACATTCTGGTACCTCACCACCCTCACAGTAAAGAACTTCCTCCTTATGTCCAATCTAAACTTCCCCTGTTTAAGTTTGAACCCATTACTCCTTGTCCTATCACTACAGTCCCTAATGAACAGTCCCTCCCCAGCATCCTTACAGGCCCCCTTCAGAGGGGGGTCTCCACGCAGCCTTCTCTTCTCCAGGATGAACAGCCCCAACTTTCTCAGTCTATCTTCATATGGGAGGTGCTCCAGCCCCCTGATCATCCTCATGGCCCTCCTCTGGACTTGTTCCAACAGTTCCAGGTCCTTTTTATGTTGAGGACACCAGAACTGCACACAATACTCCAGGTGAGGTCTCACGAGAGCAGAGTAAAGGGGCAGGATCACCTCCTTCGACCTGCTGGTCACACTCTTTTTGATGCAGCCAAGGATATGGTTGGCTTTCTGAGATGCAAGCACACACTGAAGCCAGCTCATGTTCATTTTCTCATCGACCAACACCCCCAAGTCCTTCTCCACAGGGCTGCTCTGAATCTCTTCTCTGCCCAAAATGTAGCTGTGCCTGGGATTGCTCCCACCCAGGTGTAGGACCTTGCACTTGGCATGGTTAAACTTCATGAGGTTGGCATCAGTCCACCTCACAAGGGTGTCAAGGTCCCTCTGGATGGCATTCCTTCCCTCCAGCGTATCAACCGAACCACACAGCTTGGTGTCATCGGCAAACTTACTGAGGGTGCACTCAATCCCACTGTCCATGTCAGCAACAAAGGTGTTGAACAAGACCGGTCCCAACACCGACCCCTGAGGGACATCACTCATTACCGGTCTCCAGCCAGACATTGAGTCATTGACTACAACTATATATGTGTGAGGTGAGAGTGGGGAGTGAGCGACTGGCTGCATGGTTCTGAGTTACCAGCTGGACTCTAAACCATGACAGTTCCTCATCCTGTAAAAAATTATATATTTAAATTTATTCATGTGCATAACCCCACTGATGACCATAATACTGTTAATGAGGATCAGAACACTATCTGTAAAGTGCATGATCATAGACTACATAGCTCATTTAACCAACACTCATCTGAAAAATAAGTTTAAGGTTTGGTTTCCATATTGTTTCAACTAGCACAGCTCCTGTGTCAAGTATATGTAACTCAAGCAAGCCCAAATATTTCAGGAAGACCCAGTTTCATAAAATCATTTACATAGCCAAATTTCAATTAGAGAAAATCTAATAAAAAATAGGAAGTTGTACAAGGCGACTGAAGCCAGTTACTTCAAAACATGAAAGAAAACAAAATATTTCTCCAACAGTGATACAAATAATGAATTTGGCAATAACTTATTTACGTTCGGGGTGATCTGTAAAATATCCCACTGGTGTTCCAAGTAGAAGTGCAAGAGCTGGCATTGGGTGTAACCAACACCTTTGGCTGTCACCACCTAAATATTGCACTTTCCCTAAAATGAGCTTACAAAATGCAACCAAAGATTCAGGAAAATGAAATTTGCCCTCCAGCTAAATAGGGATGTTTTACTGTGAAAGCCTGTAGGTTGAAGAAGTCTTTCTTCCTGGAAAAAATCCTCTTTGTAAACAGCCTATTATGAAATTAAAGAGAATTTCTAGTGTTCTCAAACTACTTCACATCTAGTTTTGGTACATCTGAATGTGGGCTTGTAACAAGAGGCTTGCAATTTGTTCTCAGTGTGGGATAGATTAAGTTCAGGCTGCAGTTTCTGAAGGTCATTAAAATAAAAACAAACCAAGAAACAAAAACAACTATAAATGTTTGGGGTTTTTTTTTTTCCTAGTCTAAGTTATAACTATGCAGGGAGAAAGTTCCAACTTGTTTTAATAATCTACCCATGTTTGTAAACATAAGTAAACCCATTTCAATAACATTGTCAATTTCCTTTCAAAAAGGCTTTAGTTTGTCTGGAATGTTACATTGTAAGGCTCTACTTAACCTGCTTTAGCAGACTGAGTCACCCTCTTGCAGAACGATTCATGCTCACAAGGACCTCCCTGAGAGCAGTTTCAGATATTATAATGCAGCAAATGACCTTTGAAAACAGATTTATAGACAATACATATAGAATTATAAAGATTACAACAAATTCAGCACCGAGACCATACACAGAGTATGGCATAACAGGCTACAAGCAAATACACACAGCACCAAGCATTATCCACTTTGCTGAGAAAACAGTCAATTTTCAGTTATCCTGAGATGTTCCAAAAGGCTGTGTTGAAATGGTAGACAGAAATAAAAACATTTTATTTCCGTGTTTTAGTAATACTTTGTATCCCATAATACTGTTAAGTCCATTTCTACTATAAAGCTCCTTGCTTGCAACTTCATTTCTAATTGACTATAATGGCTGCAGTGACTACATTTTAACAGCTGATGGCACCAATCACCTCAAGAAATTGCCTAGACAAAAGTCTGTTAAATTCTTATATGTGAATGTTATAGAATAATTTGATCGGAAGGCAAAATGTAAATGTCTAATAGACAAAACTAGGTAAAAATTACCCTCAGGAAAGTACAGCATCTGTCTCTCTGGAATGTGACACTCACTGTCAAATTCTATCCTGTTTAGAACATGTAACTGTCTAGATAAGGGGGCTGGAGCACTTCCCACGCAAAGACAGGCTGAAAATGCTGGGGCTGTTCAGACTGGATAAGAGAAGGCTGTGTGAAGACCTCACAGCAGTTTTTCAGTATCTGAAGGGGCCTACAAGGATGCTGGAGAGGGACTTTTCATCAGTGTCCTGGGTTCAGCTGTAATAGCTACTTTTCTCCTTCCTAGTAGCTGATGTAATGCTGTGTTTTTTACTTTAGTCTGAGAACAACACTGACAGTACACCACTAGTTTTAGTTGTTGCTAAGTAATGCTTACCCTGGTCAAGGACTTCAGTCTCCAGTGTTCTTCCAGTGAGGAGGGGCACAAGGTAAGACACCTGACCCAAACTAGCCAAAGGGGTATTTCACACCACAGCACATCGTGTCTAATATATAAACTGGGGGGAGTCACTCAGAAGGCCCAGATTGCTGCTCAGGTCAGGCTGGTATCGATCAGCAGGTGGTGAGCAACTGTATTGTGCATCACTTGTGCCTGTTGGGGTTTTTTTCCCCCTTCCCTTTCTAGCTTTGTATTCTCCCCACTTGTCATTTCCCTTATTATTATTATTAGTGGTAGTTGTAGTAGTCTTGTATTGTTTTAGTTATCTGACTGTTCTTATCTCAACCCATGGGGTTTACATTCTTTCGATTTTCCTTCTCATCCTGTCTGAGCAGGGGTGGATGAAAAGGGGAGCGAGCAGCTCTTTGGTTCTGAGTTACCAGCTGGGCTTAAACCACAACAACCAGGGGCTGTAGCAATAGGACAAGGGGTGATGGGTTCAGACTTAAACCCATCCTCCAGGGGAAGTTCATGTTAGATATAAGGAAGAAGCTGTTTACTGTGAGGGTGGTGAGGCACTGGAACAGATTGCCCAAAGAAGTGGTAAATGCTCATCCTTGACAGTGTTCAAGGCCAGGTTGGACAGAGCCTTGAACAACATGGTCTAGGGTGAAATGTCCCTGCCCATGGCAGGGGGTTAGAACTGGATGACCTTAAGGTCCTTTCCAACTCAAACCATTCTATGAACTGCAAACACTCATCCGGTTAAAAAGTTCCTAAACAGGGATACAAGTGCCTTTATAAAAATGATAATTTACATTTTTTTATTAATCCTTTACTGGTGTAACGTATAAGTAGATTAAATCAAGATATGTATAAGATATGTATATTTATGTGCAACACCATAAAATACTTGTCTTCCCTTAGGACACTGTATTTAAAGAACAGCTACTAAAAACTGACTTCACAGTGATGCTAAGGAGATGAACAAAAGAAGTGGGAATCCAGTAGTTTTGGGGGAACTTGGAAGGTATTTACCTGGGTGTGGGATTGGAAGAGATAAAAGAAACTAAGACATTGACTTCTCTGTGTAACAGTTGGTGCGTATTGCCAACTCCAGGCCAACTTCAGGCATTCAGAAGTCTAGTGAAGTCTCAAAGCTACTTTTTAAGAACTAATCTGGTCCTTACCATCTCATTTTAAGACTTTTCTTTGATTGCTTTTTAGTAAAAAAGTGTCCTCTTCATTTTCCAAGCTATCAGAACTAAGGATTTGGGGATGGAGGCACACTTCTATGCCCTGTTACCACGAGGGATAAACTGCACATTTTTTTTTAAACGAAATCTGAGGCAGCTGTACCAGACCACGGCTGTACTAAAGTACCTTAAAAACAGACCTCGTAAGCTGCGGGATCGTGTAAGAGCGCAGGCTCTTTCCAGCGGGGATGGGAAGAGCCGCTGAGAGGATCGCGCCTGGCGCTATGGACAACTCAAGGCGCCCTCTCAAGGCACCTGGGACACGGCGGCAAACACCTGCCATCCTGCCATCCCCCGCCCCCCCCCATCCTCCCCATCCCCGCGGGACTAGCGAGCTGCGAGCGGCTGGGTGGGAGGGTTGGTCTTACCCTGGCACAGCCCACAAGAAGGCGGAGCGCTGTGGCCGCCCTGACTAAAGATGGCTCCTGGGCTGTGGAAAGCTTCAGGCCGCTTCCCGACGCGATCAGATGACGTACACTGAGGGAGTCCTGGGATTCCTCGTGTTAGTGTCGGGGGTCTCAGCGCTATATTGGGTCTGAAAGGGCAGTGGTGATGGCAGCAAGGTGGGCAGCCCGCGGCTTAGAGCCGTGGCTGGACGAGTTCACTGTCCCTGCGGAGAAAAGCTGTCTCCTGGAGGCCAGCCGGGGCCGCATCGAGTGCTTGTTCGAGGTACAGTTGGCCGTGCTCGGGGCGCAGGGAGACCGACGCATCTGGGTGCAGCTGGCGGGCTGCTGGAAGGCCGTGCGCGCCGCCAAGGTACGGGGGACTGGTGGGAATGGCGCGGGCCGCAGCCGCGGGGCCTCTGTCACCCGGGCGGGGAGCGGGGCCGTGTTTGCATACGGTCGAGCCCCTCCCAGCAAGGGCACGGCTCGAGCTGCTGTTTACGGGGTCGGGAGGGAGAAATCCGTGCTTCATGGTGAAACAGAGCCCTGCCCTGGCAAACAGGCGTGTCTCGGGTGCCGGGGTGTCTCCGGTGGTGTTGACACAAGCTTGGAGAATAGAGAGAAACAATTCAGCTAAGAAGTGGGAAGTTCAGCGGTGTGGCAAGGCCCCAGAGTCCTGAAATACCTCTGCGAAAGGGGGTTAAACACGTGCGGGAGCAGGCTAAGTTGTGTTTTGAAACGCGGTTAAAATGTATCTCTGTCCTTCCCAAAGTCGAGTAATTACTCTCGGTTGGGTGTTACTGCGTTTCCAGTTGCGTTTCAAACTTAACTTTGTGGCAGTTAGTAGCTTATAACCTGCTTCACGCTCTCGCTATCGGTTTAGCAGAGGTAGTATTTCCTAGTAGGAATGCGTAGGAGTTTCTTGCTTCACCAGTCTGTTTCCTGGAGCTGTTAGCTTTGTTAGATTAACCAAAGACGTTAAAAGGGAGAGCGGTCTAGGCTCTGCGAGTCTCTGACTGACACTAATTGCTGTAAAGTATCTTCACTTTAGAAGTTAGTTTGAGAGTTAGTTTGGTGACTCTCTTGTCCAACAAACTTTTTCGGGGAGGCTCAGCAGTAACGATGAAGTTAATATCACTTATAGTGGACTTGATAACTGTGGCTGTTTGAATTGTGTGATGAGAAGGATGGTGTAAGCACTGGCAAGGCTGGAGATAGCTTTCAAACCCCAAATCTCAATATGTGGACTTTTGTATCAGTTTAAGAACAGATGCATGTTAGTGGGGATCCTTAGCATGTGTTTTGTGACTTAATTCATGGACTGGCTAGTCCACTTTCAAAAACTTGATTTCTCAACTATGTAATGCATAAGACTTTTATAAGGAAAATACTATGAATATTTAGGGTCTTGACTTATTTGATTCTGAAATTTACTCTAACCCAATTTGCTTGCATACTTGGGCTTAAGAGACTCCAGAAACTGTTACAGGTAGCATAAACAGCTATTCATTCTTCTCCAGGCAGCTGCAGTACAACTTTTCTCTCTCACTCTTTTTTTTTTTTTTTTTTTTCTCCAGAAAATTGAAGCCTGAAACAAATATCACAAGAATTGCATTTTCTAACTGCCGATTTTCCTAATAACATACAAAATGTTTCCTACTCCAAATGCTTTAAAGGGTGTGGTAGACGTGACTCCCCTTACATGTAAAGCAGTTTTCAGACCCTACCAGGAGGGGTTATTGAGCAGACAATTGCATATCTTCAACAATTGCACATCTTCATTTTCTCCCTTGAAAAGGTTTGGTGATAGCAATTTGCTGTAATTCATCACTCACAGGCAGTATACTTATTCTTCAGTGCTGCCTGGTGGGGGAAGTTCCCAGATTTAGTATATCTTTTTTCCTAATTATATTGTTATCTTGTTGATCTGCTAAAATGTCATATGATGACTAAAGCACAAAAAGTAATCCTATGGATTTTCTTGCAGAAACAGGTTGTGCTAATATGGCCTTGGAGCAGTTTGCCCAGATAATCAAGATAATGTAACTCAAGAGATGATACAAAGTGGTCTTATGTTGTTCATTACCTTGTATTGGTTTTTAGTTCCATTCAAAGGATAACTTTTAGTTTCCAAGAGTGAAAGCAGAGAATAAAATTTGGTATACTTGGGAGTCTGCAAAACTAGCTTAGAAACTAGTTTCACTGCATAAGAGTTTAAAGCACAGAAAGAGATAGGGGTAAAAATAATGCTACCTGGAAGAAGAAATAGTGCACTGTATTGGCAGAGTTCTCAACTCTGACATATTTAAAAAAAAAGGCAGCACAGTGAATTTTCTGGTGGTAACTTTTAGATGACAGAAATAACAGTGGGATTTTTGTTTGGGTTCTGTTTGTTTGGGTGGGGTTTTTTTGTTTGTTTGTTTGTTTTGTTGTTAATCTATTAAAAACCTGAACTTCTGGGGCACAAACCCATATGGAGCCTGCAGTTTTCTGTCATTTGTCAATATCATCTGCTTTTTTCAAAATGCTGAGTTTCAAAGCCTCAGCTTGCTGTGGAGCTTTTGGGGTGTGATGATTTCCCTCTCTCCTCCCCTTCCCCCGTGTTATATGCCCATTGTAAGCAGGTAGTTTGGCAGTTGTAGTTTTAAAATCCAAATATTTTATTGGATTAGAGAATCTATGACAGTCCAGATAGTGTTTTTGTCATTTGTTTGGAGTAAGATTTTTTCTTCCCTGTAAGATATTTTTTAATGGATCCTACTGTGGGTACTAGTTATGTTGTGCCATGACACAGGATCAATGTCCTTGACTGAGTAATAAGTATAGAATAAGTAACACATAATAACAACTAACAAATGTAGGATGGCTACTGCTCTGATGAGCCTTTGGAAGTTTTCCTTTAGAAAGTGTTATTAGAAGTTGAGTTTTACAGACTAGGTAGAATTCTTTAATGTGAGGCATTTGTTCATGATGCATATGTCTTCTGACCCAAGAATGGGGATGGGAAAGTGAATCTCTTTTGACTTGTCTTTTAAACTGAGTTTCAACTTAAAAATTCTTTTACTACCAGTTTCAAGTAAATTTATAAACACTAGGATATTAAAGTTAGCCTTCTCTATATGTGTAAATTATTTAAAAATAATTTCAGGTATCTTTTTTCTCCATTATCTAGTTTACTGGCAGTATTTACTTTCTCAAGTTTCTTCTGCCAATTTGCCTTTATTTTCTAATGTACTTACCTATTTCTGACATAACCAAAACTAAGTTGATATACCAGCTTGTCACAAATATTCACTCTGCTGTCTTTTCGTCCTTCTAGGAGTATATTAAGGGACTCTGTGAACCTGAACTAGAAGAGAAAGAGTACTACCCAAAGGACATGCACTGCATCTTTGTTGGTGCACAAAGCCTGTTTCTCAACAGTCTTATTCAAGATACCTGTGCTGATATATCAGTGCTGGAAATAGGTTTGCTCAGTATTAAAGGGGGTGCAGAAGCTGTTGTTATGGCTCAGAGTCATATTCAGCAGTTTGTGAACCTTTTTGAGAGTAATGAAAGCTTATTAAGTGACAATGAGTCAGAGATTAAGAAGCAGTTCAGACAATTTGTGGAAGCTCATGCAGATAAATACACAATGGATTTACTGATTTTGCCTAGCTCGCTAAAAAGAGAGCTTCTAGCTCTCACACAAGCTGAATGCTGTGAAGTGCAGAGCAGTATCATAGATCTGACAGGTTCTGAAAGCCCGACAGAGCTTTTACATAACGAAGCCCCCAGAGTAATAGCTACAAACAGAGATGGAAGAGCAGATGTTGAGGAAGAAAGAAACAGTGCTGGAACACCTGTAACTGAACTTACAAAGCAAATGGATGTTGTGTTTTCTGATTCTCCTGGAACAAGTTTTGTTCCCATAAATGTGCCTAAAGAAAGGCAGTCATGTAAAAGAAGATCTTCTTATGATGAGGAAAGGCTTCCTAAAAAACAGTTCTCTTCAGAAAATGATCAAGAAGTAAAATTTTCACACAGTAATCATTCAGATAGTGAAGTAATTATTGATCTGCTTTCAGATAGCTGCAGTGAAAGCAGACCAAATGATTCCAGTCATCACGTTAAAGTAGGTGATGAAATCAGTGAGGAAATGGAATATAGAATTCTTGTGAACTTTTTCAGAACAATGGGATATCGCCAAAATATTGTAGAAAAAGTCATTGGTATCTTAGGTCAATCTGTGGAACCGTTAACATTGTTAGAAGAAATTGAAAAGGAAAATACAAAATCTCAAAAAGAACACAATCAGTCATCTCCAATGTCTAAAACTGGCAACCCCCCTTTAAAAAGTAATGCAAATAACTCACAAAAACTAGTAGACAAAAGCAATAAAAGTCCACTTAAATCCAGTCATACTTCAAGGGAGACGAAAAATGAGTATCACAAAATAAGAAATCCACCAAGCATGCAAGCTGATGCAGAAAATGGAATGCATATGTTGGTAGGTAAACACGTTTCTCCTTCCAGTGAAAATTCAGCTATGTGCTATAAAAAAGAAGACATTTATTGCCAGGGTAAGAACTACAGTTTGAGATCAAGCGATACAGAGACTGATGGTGGTGTAACTTTTGGGACTATACAATCTGGAGCTCGAAAAGGTGGTGATTTTGTAGCCAGAGGGAGTTCAGATGAGCAGTGTACCTCAATTAAGACTAAAACTGCTGTTCAGCAAAGCACTGCAGGGCCCTCAACTGTACAGAATAGTCATCCTGGTTCTGAGGACCGATTAGGACACTGTACCTCTTCTCAAGGGATATCTCCTAACCAACGCCGTTCCCAAACCTCAAACTCAGAAAATCCTGTCTCAGACCAGGTATTGTCTTCACAAATGCAGCCTTCAAATCCTGATAGAGAGACAGTGGGACAACAAAGACATCATCCTGATCCTTCTGTTACTGGAGTTCAGAGATTTTTGGATTCTCTGAAAAAGCCATACAGACTGGAATTGAAAAATGAACCTGGGAAACCATATTTAAAACATATCATTATTGATGGAAGCAATGTTGCAATCACGTAAGTATTGTTCCCTTCAGTTATCTCTATTAAAATTTCAATGAGCTTTCAAATGAAATGGAAACTAAGGTTGCTGTGGCATGTGTAAACCTTTTACTAGCTACCTTTTTGGTGACCAGAAGCCCATGTTCACAGCAAGGTTTTCAGCTACTGGTAATGGCTGCAATGGTAAGTTACACTAAGGCTTGATAACGAAAAATTACATGAGTGTGCTGTAGTCATTTTAATTTCCAGCACATAGCAATTTTGATAGCTTTTAGTCTCTTTTGTGATAGTGTCTGTTTTTATAACTGGTTTATTTGGAGTTATTATTCCTTGTTGAGATACTGTGCATAGACGGAAATTCGGAGTTCTTTTAGCTGGTGCACTTCAGTGCACAAAACCAGCTAGACCAGTGTCGTTGTAGGGTATTCTAATATGAAACAATTCTTGTAGAATTTACTTCTGGCTTAAAAAAGAATACATAGTCTGGAGATGAACAAATACAATAACTGGTTAAAATAGATCCTTGATTTTGACTTAAAAATTGGTTGGTAATTGCAATACTCTGGAAAATATTTTCTGTAAAGCCTTTTAGGCTTAGCTTTCCTCCTCTAATAAAAAATTGCAAATTTATAAAAAAACAAGCAGCTTAGATTTATTAAACCCAAATACTAAAGTAATCTGAAAAAAAAAAAAGGAATGGACAAAGAAAATTAAAACTAGATACACTTTGGAGGTAGGCAAGATCCTATTTGATAACAAGTTTGCAAGTGAAAAGTAAATTAATTCTACAGCCTTGCTTACTAGGCAATGGTCAAATTTGAAGCCTGATTTGTGCCACTTCATAGCAACCTGGTCTGAACTATTAGTGCTTCAGCTCCATGGAGCACTTCAGTCGGAATTTAATTTTGGTGAGCTCTGCTCTGTTGCAAGCAATTTTGTGCATCAAACTTAATTTGCTTTGCATGCATCTAACCAAGAAGTTGAGTTACCATCAGTGTTAAGTGTTCTGTTTTTTTTACTTCTGCTCTTAGCATCTTGTAATTTTGAAGTGGAGGTTCTTATAGTAGTAATATATTTTTCCTTTAACAACATTACACATTAGTGCTTGGGTCCTGTTACTTTTTACAAATGTAGGCATGCAACAAACATATTCCATCCCCCTCAATAAAACTTGCAGAATAGGGAATCCTGTGTATGTGTGCACACACCTCATCTCCTATTAATCAAGATACCTGAAATAACGTATGCAAAAGAGAGCAGACAATTACAGAGCTGTTGGATAATTGTAACAGATTGGCTGACAAAGCACCATGCAAACCAACTCTGTAAAGTGGGTACAGTTAATGCTGAAAAGATCATTTACTTTGAAAAGATGATGCAAGGATTTTCCATTATTGTAAATGCCTTCTAATTCCTTTTTCTCTTTTCATGTTTCTACTGCAGACAACTTTGGAAAGTGTTGCAAGTTACAATTTTCTCTTTTTTCAAAGTTATGACTAACTAGAATGTGAAATACGAACTCACTCCTCTAAACAAGATAACAAGGTTTTATTGGGGGACAAAGTCAGTAAAGCAAAAGCAACAGCTCTGGGCGCATGACCGTAGCCACAGGTGCAAGTGATTAGCATTTGTTACAGGTTTATATACTTTCACTATTACATTAGTTACATGCATATTCATAATTCCCACATATAGGTGGGGGATATTATAACTACCTCCAACAATTTATTATCATAAGTCTCCTCCTCTTGATATCTGCACAGTGCTCTGCAGTGATTGTGGGCAGGGGTCTTGAGGATGAAGTAAACAGTCATCCTCTTGTGAGTAGGGGTCTTCAAGATGAAGTAAGCAGTCTTCCTCACAGTGTACTCTTCACCTTTGGCACAATAGGACGCCCCAGTAATCACACAGCCAGCAGTATCTCTAATTATTCTGCTAACTAGCAAAGATTTAAAACAGTGTGACCTTCCTGCAAAATTTATTGCAGGATGGGCAGACAAGGAGTATCCCAAGCTAGCAGATGTTTGGGAGGCTCTGTCTCTAAACTAACTGATAAGTAGAAGGATGGTGTGAAATAACTCCTTCATGTTTAGTGGGGCCACTAAATCCTGTTATCTCACCACAGACTTACAACACAAACGTTGCTCTTTAAAACTTCTTTAGAAGACTAGTGTGAAACGATTAACTCATGTTTAGTGGGGCCACTACATTCCACAGACTTACAACATAAACATTGTTCTCTTTCTGCAACCTAAGTTGTAGAGTAAGTAATTTATGTTTTCCAGGCACTAACTTTCCTTATATCAAGCTACCCCCCCTTCTTTCTTTTACCTTTGCAAATCCTTTTGCTATGTGGCTCTGTTTTGATCAAGAGATCTGAACCTTTTTAACTTGTTGTCTAGTCTTGTGTCTTTAGTGAGTTTTGTTTCTGTTACTGTAAACACGTACAGTTATATCCACATAACCACACCTATGATTTGCAAAAGCCAATACATTTATGTGTTTATTACAGGGGATATCAAAAATCAGTTAATTTGAAAAATTTGTGCATTACTTGGTTCATGAAGTTTAACCATGCCAAGTGCAAGGTCCTACACCTGGGTCGGAGCCATCCCAGACACAGCTGCAGGCTGGGCAGAGAAGAGATTCAGAGCAGCCCTGCAGAGAAGGACTTGGGGGTGCTGGTTGATGAGAAAATGAGCATGAGCCGGCAGTGCGCGCTTGCAGCCCAGAAAGCCAACTGTATCCTGGGCTGCATCAAAAGGAGAGTGACCAGCAGGTCGAAGGAGGTGACCTTGCCCCTCTACTCTGCTCTCGTGAGACCTCACTTGGAGTATTGCATGCAGTTCTGGTGTCCTCAACATAAAAAGGACATGGATCTGTTGGAACAAGTCCAGAGGAGGGCCACAAGAATGATCAGGGGACTGGAGCACCTCCCATATGAAGATCAGCTGGAGAAGAGAAGGCTGTGTGGAGACCTCATAGCAGCCTTCCAGTATCTGAAGGGGACCTATAGGGATGCTGAGGATGGACTCTTCATTAGGGACTGTAGTGGTAGGACAAGGGGTAATGGGTTAAAACTTAAACAGGGGAAGTTTAGATTGGATATAAGGAAGAAATTCTTTCCTGTTAGGGTAGTGAGGCACTGGAATAGGTTGTCCAGGGAGGTTGTGAATGCTTCATCCCTGGCAGTGTTCAAGGTTAGGTTGGACGAGGCCTTGGGTAATATGGCTTAGAGGGAGGTGTCCCTGCCCATGGCAGGGGGGTTGGAACTTGATGATCTTAAGCTCCTTTCCAACCCTAAATATTCTATGATTCTATTCTATGATTCTATTCTAACATTTGTCTCATCAAAACTGCCCTTGAATTGATTGTTGTTCTTTAGTCAGGAAAAGATGTGGATTTGTTCTTTTTATGCTAAGTAATTTTGGCAAGCACTCAGGTCAAAAGGTCTCTTCAGTGTTTGCTATGGGTCTTTTCTGTAGTTTTGGAATATGAGAGTGAGCAATGACAAGTACCATATTTCTTCTTAATGAGGAAGTGGTAATTTTTAAACAGACTGTCTGCTCCGCTTGTCAATACTAATTAGTAAACTTACTATGAGAACTTGCTATATAAGAGTTCCGTGGCTGAACATGCCTAAACCTGTATTGGTGTTCATTTTGAAACCATGCTGCCAGGTACAAAATAGAGTACTTTAAGCAAAATAGTAATTCTGAGAGGTCACCTGTATCCCCGGACAAAGTGAGAAAAATTAGACTAAGTGTTTCTTAAACGCTTAACTATTTTAAAATATGGATTTTAATCTTGGAGTTTGGAAGTCCTGAAAAGCTTTGTATTGGCTGTATTCACTTGCTATTTAGCTGGAACTAACTCTTGAATAGGATAATTCCTACTACCAGTGATCCCATGATTTCTGTCAGATGCTCTTTTGCTGAGCCAAACCTATATGACTGCTTAAGATACATGTATCATATGTCATCTACTTTATGCTGTTAGATGAAAGATGCTTCCTAAAGAACAGGCTCAAATCTTGTTTAGGAGAACAAAATAAACTTCTCCATAGTGGGATGTGAGGGGGAAGGTATAGTGTTATGTACTAAAACAAAATAGTGTTGAAGCCAGATCTAGAATGAATTTAATGTTTCAGACAGTTGGCAGCTGGTACAGTTTCCCAGAAGTAACTATGTAAACACAGACCTACACATACATGTACACACAGTTGTGTTAATGGGGAGGAAAAACATAGAATCATATAATAGTTAGGGTTGGACCTTAAAATCATCTAGTGCCAACCCCCCTGCCATGGGCAGGGACACCTCACCCTAAACCATGCTGCCCAAGGCTTTGTCCAACCTGGCCATGAACACTGCCAGGGGTGGAGTATTCACATCCTCCCTGGGCAACCCATTCCAGTACCTCACCACCCTTACAGTAAAGAATTTCTTCATTATATCCAGTCTAAACTTCCCTTGTTTAAGTTTTAACCCATTACCCCTTGTCCTATCACTACAGTCCCTAATGAATAGTCCATCCTTAGGATCCTTATAGCCCTTCTTCATGTACTGGAAAGCTGCTATGAAGTTTCCACACAGCCTTCTCTTCTCCAGGCTGAACAGCCCCAATTTTCTCAGTCTATCTTCATATAGGAGGTGCTCCAGTCCCCCGCCCCAACCATCCTTATGGTCTCCGCTGGACTTGTTCCAACAGTTCCAGGCCCTTTTTATGTTGAGGACACCAGAACTGCACACAATACTCCAAGTGAGGTCTCACGACAGCAGAGCAGAGGGGCAGGGTCACGTCCTTCAACCTGCTGGTCACACTCCTTTTGATGCAGCCCAGGATACAGTTAGCTTTCTGGGCTGCAAGTGCACACTGCTGGCTCATGTTCATATTATCATTGACCAACACCACCAAGTCCTTCTCCACAGGGCTGCTGTGAATGGATGTATGATTCTAGTTCCACTACCAGCTAATACCTTGATTTTTCCTAGATGATTTTTTTAAAGATAAACCAACTTCTGCTTAGTCAAATAATGTTGTGACTGTGAAACTGAGACTGAGCTATGGAGTTGTGAAGTGACGTTTCTGTTCTCTTCTTTTGCTGAAAATCTCTTTCCATGTATAAGATTCTTTATCTATAGCATCAATCTACCTTTTTTTTTTTTTTTTCTGGCAAGACCACATGCTTAACTGGCAGCTTCACTTGGCAAGGTTTAGTTCCTTTTCCTTTGTGTTTATGGTAGTAAAACTGGTAAATTTTGTATCCCTTCTCTTTCTTTCACCCCCAGTCATGGTCTAAGGAAATTCTTCTCCTGTCGAGGAATTGCAATAGCTGTTGACTACTTTTGGAAACGTGGCCACAGAAATATTACTGTGTTTGTTCCACAGTGGAGAACAAGACGTGATCCTAACATTACAGGTGAGGGACATAGTTTCCTAATGTTTTCTTTATTAAATTACTTTCCTGGGTTCTGCGGTAGCAGTCATTTTTCTCCTTCTTAGTAGCTGGTGCACTGCTATGTTTTTGACTTTCAGCCTGGGAAGAACACTGATAGCACTGATGTTTTTAGTTGTTGCTCAGTAATGTTTAGTCTGACCAAGGATTTTCTGAGTCTCATGCTTAGCCAGGGAGGAGAGGAAGCCAGGAGGAAGCAGAGACAGGACACCTTACCCAAACTAACCAAAGGGGTATTCCATACCACAGCATGTCAGTCTGGCTGCTCAGCATCAGTAATTGGGTTTCTATATACAGTATGAGACATTCAATGAAATGCTGTTTAGGATAATCATATGCAATCAGTGGAGGCCTTTTTGTTTGTTTGGGGGTTTGTTTGCTCTTTAATTTCTAGTTTCAGCCTCTTCCTCCCAAATTTACTGCCCCTCTGCTCTGGTGAGACCTCACCTGGAGTATTTTGTGCAGTTCTGGTGTCCTCAACATAAAAAGGACATGGAACTGTTGGAACAAATCCAGAGGAGGGCCACAAGGATGATCAAGGGGCTGGAGCATCTCCTGTATGAAGACAGGCTGAGAAAGTTGGGGCTGTTCATCCTGGAGAAGAGAAGGCTGTGTGGAGACCTCATAGCAGCCTTCCAGTATCTGAAGGGGGCGTATAGGGGTGCTGGGGAGGGACTCTTCATTAGGGACTGTAGTGACAGGACAAGGGATAAGGGGTTCAAACTTAAACAAGGGAAGTTTAGGTTGGATATAAGGAAGAAATTATTTACTGTGAGGGTGGTGAGGCACTGGAATGGGTTGCTCAGGGAAGTTGTGAATGCTCTATCCCTCGCAGTGTTCAAGGCTGGGTTGGACGAAGCCTTGGGTAATATGGTTTAGTGTGAGGTGTCCCTGCCCATGGCAGGGGGGTTGGCACTAGATGATCTTAAGGTCCTTTCCAACCCTAACTATTCTATGATTTGATGATTCTATGAATTTCCATAATATTAGCAATGTTCAGTTATGAATGTCATTTCTACTAACAGATGCAAAAATAACCTGTCTTCTCTGCTAACTATACCTCACACAAATTGTTGAATAAATAGCCTCAAAGAATACTTTTGTTTTTAAGAACAGTTTTTTCATGTTTTAACAGAGCAGGATTTCTTAACAGAGCTCCAGGATGTTGGAATATTATCTTTAACCCCTGCAAGGGTGGTTTTAGGAGCAAGAATTGCTGCTCATGATGACAGGTATGGAATATATGCCATCTTTTTAAATGTCTGTCTAACGGGTATAAAAACTTCATACTTCATGAGTGATTGTATTAGCTTAATTCTTCAATCTCTCTAGACAGAGAGCTATGCTTCCAACTTGAGACTAACTTCTACATTTATGTTATTTTACTGTCCAAAGAAACATCTGTGTATTTAAAAATAAATATTTGTGCACAGAAAAAAAATATATGTGCACACAGGGATAAATAATGTACACAGAAATTAGTGGAAAATGGCACATTTTCCTGGCAATTTTAACCATTAAAAAAAAACAAAAACAAAACAAAAAAAAAAAAAAAACAAAAAAAAAAAAAGATCCATTTCAAATGTCACCATTTGCACTGAGTAAGAAATCAAGTCTTATAGTAATGTTTTCCTGCATTCCTTATCAGTCTGTTGGAATTGACTTTTATGTTTGGGGAACACTAGCATAAGTGAGCTACTAATAAGGTGCAGTTTTGTTCCATTTTCTTTGTTGATGCCATCATGGCATACAGATATCGGTGTGCACTTGAGCACTGTGTTTGTAATAATGTGTAGGCTACTAAATTTCCAAGCTAATTCGAGCACCTAAGTTCAGCTTCAATTCAGGGGCTTGTTATTGGGCATTGGAGGGGTTTCCATGTGCTCATACTGCTACTGCCAGATTTTCCCAGTCTTGAGGTATGGCTGAAAGCACATGCTACTTAAGTTTATCCCTACAAATAATCACTTATACTTTTTTTTTTTTCTGGCTATAAAATTGTCATGTTTTTGTATCATGGGCATGCCTAGTTTTGTTAGATTGTGCAGTAATGCATCTGATTGCAAAATTTAATATGCAAAAGATGAGTGCACTCTATATATCATCCTTGTTAAAATATGGTAACTGTGATCTCTTAAATAATAATGTTCTAGCAAAAAAAAAGAAAAAAAGTACAAGGCAGCCAAACTGGAGTTGTTTACACACTCGTGCTTTATATACACCCAGCATTTCATATAAAAATGCTATTTAGGTGCAGTAGAAATGAGTGTTGTGCTAACATATTTGCACAAAAGTGTACACTTCTCTTTGAAGGATAGTATCTCTTTTCTAAAATAGTTTCAATGGCAGAAAGCTTGTTTTCAGATAGGTAAAAAAAAAATCTCAATAAATCTGTAGTTTCCTTTTGTCATAATTTAACAAGAAAATAGTAACCACACTCTTCATTAACAAGTGTTGACAGAGCAAACAATGACATGCAGAAAATGGATATCAATGTTGACCAAAATAGTACATGGAAACAAGTTTATGTTGGAATGTGTAATAAATACTGTACTCTTTTGTAAAGCAAACCATTTACCTCTACAAATATTTAGAATCTGATGGATTTGAGGGAGTTTTTCTTGTGGCTGGTTTTTGGGGGTTTGGTGGGGGTATTTTTCTTTTTTAGTGAGGAAAAAAAAAAAAAAAGCCTCCCATGAAGGCTGTGCTGCACTAAATAAATGCATGCCACCGAAAATGCTTATAGTTATATGATGGGTCAAAGCAGTATCATTTTCTGGTAATCAAAGTGCTTGTTTTCATACAAGACAATTACTCTTGGATGATAAAATACTTAGTTTTCAAAATCTGTAGCCAATTTTCAGCAAAGCAGATTTTCTTAACTGTCTTTGAAATAAATCTTACAGGTTTTTATTACACCTTGCTGATAAAACTGGAGGTGTTATTGTGACTAATGATAACTTCAGAGAATTTGTGACAGAATCAATTGCCTGGAGAGAAATTATTCAAAGAAGGTAATTACTCCATTTCTATGAAAGTGTAAAAAGATATCTGTCCTTACAGTTGTGGGCACTCTACCTTCATGTAGGATTTTTATTTCAATTAGTCTGTCATGAAATTCTGGTACAGCCCAAAAAAGTACTGTCTGTGCTTCACCGCTTTGATTCATGGCCTTATAATCATGCGTTGAGTTGTCTAGTGTCCCTGTTATATATTCTCTAATGTGCGTCTATTAATTGCTCACATAAATAGGAGCTTGGTTTAGAAGCTAAGATAGGTCAATTCTGAAGTTCAGTGTTAAATCCTGTTAGAGTACATGCTTTGCAGTCTATTTTCACAGGCTTTCTTGTTTTAAATATCATCTCTTGAAGGAGACATGATATCTGATGCTCAGGTACAGCACCACTTTTAAGGTCTTAGAATCAATCACTCATTACTGTAGTACAACAAATTGGCATAGCTAAAGAAAATAATGAACACTTGCAATATTCCTATAGCCATTTCTCTTCAATTGTTGAGTGTTCTTTGGGTTTAGACGAATTCAATTAGCTATCAAATTATCCCTGCTTGAGCTTGTGGATTCTCAGTCAATTAGTTTCTCCTGTTCAAGTGGTTTCTTTTTGTTCACTTGGTTGTTTTTCTTTTTCCTCCCCCAGTTAAATAAGGTCATTTTATTATTATTAAGGTATGACCTTCTGTTGCCCACTAATCCCTCAGTCTCTATGACATTTTCTGAGGATACATCTGCTGCAGTGAGTGGGATGTGTATAGGTCAAATGAAATAAATAAAACCTGCCTTGGGTTCTCACAGTATAGCTGGGAGAATGTGGAATTCATGTTGACTAATCATGTAGATATCTGCACAATTTATCGAATGAGTTCTGCCCAAGTCAGGCTTTGTTCTACAGAACTTTAGCAATAATTGTTAGCATGTCATTCTGGGTCAGTGATTTTTTTATTATTTTTTTTCAAGAGTTTGTGTTAGTATCTCCTATTAGTTTTACTTCTGGAAAAATTCCACTATACCAAACTTTCTCCTTGCAAACAAACTTTAGTTGAACTGGTTTTTTTCAATGCAGAGTTGCCAAGATAATTCCAGAAAAAGAGCTTCCTTGTGTCTTATCTGTAAACAGCTAATGCTGTGTTTGCTAGTTGTGTGGCTTTCGAATAACATATGCTTTTTAGCTACGTGGTTGAAGGCCCTTACAAGTAAAGGGAGTTTGAGCAACCAGAAAAGTTTCTCTAATTGCCAAAAAAATTCCATTCTGGTTTTGTCATAAAAAGTTGCAGTCATTCAACACTTGCTGTCAAGGAAAAAAAAATAAAAAAAGCAAAGCTTAGTTTTCTGCAGCGCCATGGGAACAGATCACAAAAGCTCCCAAACTCCAATTAAATTGACAGTAAATATTGGTTGTATCTAAAATGGATTACTAGTTAAGCTTCAGTGACTCCTGATATGGTGTAGTGTATTTGCTATAAGGCAACTTATCCTATGCTACAAAGGTGAAGGTAATAAAGATGTAATACATTGTTATTAAATAATATTGAAAGAAATCTTTTGCAGGCTGCTCCAGTACACTTTTGCTGGTGACATATTTATGGTTCCTGATGATCCTTTGGGAAGAAATGGACCTAGATTAGATGACTTCCTTCAAAATGAAGACTTTTTCAGGTATAAGCACTACTTTCACTTTTCTTTGATACAGTTATGATTTCACATTTGGAATAAACTGTGTTCCTGATTCACTCGAACACCTCTTCATATCTGTATTAGTTAATATATAGTGAAATTAGGCAAGAATACTGTAGGTTGTAGTAGCTTTAACAAAACCATGAGTTTTCTGTTTCTTAAGCCTGTTCAGAAACTGCTGGTGACATTTGCATCTAATCAAGATCTCTCTCAGAGCTAAGGTAAGTAAAACAATAACTTCATCTGAGATTCAATTGTGATGGCTTTCATTCAAAGGTGGCCCAAACTATGTTAACATTGCACAAAGCTGCAAGTGGTTTGGGTATGGTGGTAGCCTTGTATCCTGTTACTTATGGTGATGTTATTTAAAACACCTTGGTTTATCACTTATTCATAGTGGGACAATAGGTGGTACAACAGAAACTCTACACTCAGTCATGGGAGAGGCATTTTTCTTCTCACTTGAGATGTGAAATTGTGCTGTTAATAAAACAATTTTTGAGGGGCATTATTAAATGCTATCTTTATTAATATTTTTAAATATTAATAAATATATAGTTCCTGTAAGATTATTATACTTTTTAAATATTCATATATTTCAAGTATGAATTCACTTTACATTAGCCATCAAGGTGTGGGAATGGGTTTGATCTTTTGTGTGAGAAAATGAGCTGCTTTTTGCTTTTCTTTCACCACTTTAAGAATATAAACGCTAATGGTAGTGAGGAGCATTCAGAGATCTTTTAGAAACAACTGAGGTAATTAAAAATCAGTAATAAAAAAGACAAGTTATACTTAACTAATTGTTTGTGTGAATCTTTATCTCAGCTATTGGAAACAGCTGAGGAAAATGAGAAGTGTATACCAGAAGGTCCCAGGTTGATCTGAAAATAACTGTATTTAATGTTGACATGAAAAAAGCTAGTGTAGTTTTAGAACTCCAGTAGGAAATGCTAAGAAAGTAATATAACACTTATTGTAAGTACATATGTAAGTACATTATTCATAATTACAAATAATATGTAAATATATTTTGTTGGAATAGAAGGGCTCTAATATAAAGTCCTTAGATGATGTCATTTGGAACATTGTATTTTAGCTGCCTAAAACACAATGCTGTGTCTGAAAAATGTGAAAGCAGTACGATTTGATAGGTGACTTTGCTGACTGTAGAAATGGAAAGAGATTCTTCTGAGAAGACTATAGAAGAGCTTAGGTTCTTATCAGTAAACTTGGAACTGGAAGTAGCCTTTGGTTTTTGAGTGGTGGGGTTTTTCGTTTTTAGGGTTTGGGGTTTTTTTAAGGGGAATGGGTTGTTTGTTTTGGGGTTTTTGTTGTATTTATATTGATGGTTTTGACAGAGGAAAGATGCCAGTGTAAAGAGTTAATTTGGTTCCTCCCTGAGACTTTTCTACTTGAATTAAATAATGCAGAAAGCATAAATGGCACCAGGAGCAAGATGAGAAACTAGAAGGATCTTGAGCAATTAAGAGAGCCTTGCTATATTGAGTAATGGGAGATATCCTAACCTAAATGCTTTTAAGATAGAGGTCTGTAATTTAGATACTGTTTCTCTTGGTGGTAGGAAATTAGACTGTAACATGAGTTCCAGTTTCTTTATTACCTGGTGGCACCTGAAGTAGACTTGGCCCTAAATTCTGTAGTGCTAGCAGAGTAGCAACAGCTTTTCAAAGCCTGACACAAAATCTCAATAATTAAGGAAAAATATTGAGATCTTGACACTGCTGAAAAACCTCATTGCCCCATTCAGGATAGCATTCCAGGGGAAAAAACGCCTTGGTCTAAAAGTGAGCACAGCTCAGTCATGAGTCAAAGTAGATGGCGAATAGTCTTAGGGAGCATCTGGAAGCCTCTTTGCTCTGTCAGTATTTTCACATGTTCTGAGTTGTGTGTGTGTGTGTTCAATGTGTCTTTTTATCATTTTGTTTCAATAACACTGGTGTTGGTTCTTCCATAAAATAAGCTTTGACTGTTGCTGTTTTCTGACAAGTACTTGCAATTTGTTGTAACTAGTCTGAGATAATGTTAATGTTATTTAGTCATGCCAGATTCAAATTGAAAACTGTTATACCTACTGTTTTGTTTCACTTTGAAAAATACTTATCACTTGATTTCAATCCATAACTAGCTGAGCAGCACTGAAGTAGAGGGGTTATACTCATTTTTCTTTTCTATGTTTTTAGAGACAACTAACATCTCCTTAACCAGAATTTTTGTTTTGTTCCATAGAGATTTCCAGTCAGCACCAAGGGTTTTCCAGAGCAGTAGACAATATCCTTCTGAGACACCTTTCTTCACACCAGTCCCCAGACCAACCTGTAGCAGTCAACAACCTAAAAACGGAGTACATGGTGATCGTGCATCAGCACTGCTTCCACTGGAAATGGAGACCTGCTTAGCCATTCCACCACAGAGATCTGACTCAGAAACAGAACGCCTAAGAGAAGCCCTGATAAAAATTTTTCCTGATCATGAGCAAAGACAGAAGATTGATCAAATACTAGCTGATCATCCATTCATGAGAGATCTTAATGCACTATCTGCTATGGTGCTTGACTGAATAGTATACAGGGGTTTATATCACAACTCATTTGACTAACTTTGAATATCGATGTGGAGAAAAATGTTGCTCAGTTAATGTTACTTTGTGAATATTCAAGACCTAATTTTATTTGTATAAACAGAGCTATTTGTGTATGTTCTGTTGCTAATAGATACCAGTTTTTGATAAATTAAGACCTACTGGTATTAAAAATTTGTAGGCATATTTTCTAGAAAAAAAACCCAAACCAAATCTGTTTCACATTAATTGCTTATTAAAGCAGCAGCAGTTCTAAAGGACTGTTGCCACTTTAAATAGTGTGTTAGCATTTTTTAAGAAACCCTTTCCTCAAAAGGGGAAAGTAATGCCAGAGGTTTAAGACACTTACAGCCTTACATGTATTTTCCAGGTGCACACATAACAGATTTTAATGTAAGTCATGCACCTGTCAGATATCGTTGGTGTTTTTATCTAGAGTATAGATATTCTTAGAAAACAAATGCTCTGTAGTACCTCCTTCACTTATGAGCTTGGAAATATTTTCCATAGAAATAAAACAGACCTTCTTATTGCTTTCAGATATGAAGACTTTTAGATAATGTATATGTAAACCTGCTTTCCTTAAGCCTGCATCGTCGGTTTTGGAAATAGGCTATACTCTTAATGGTCTGTAGATGACAGTTTGAAGATGACTGCGTGGGAGCACGGGATGTTCGGTGTATTACTTACGTTCTGTCACAAGGTGGCGTTATGCACCTCTTGGTTTGTAATGATGAGCAGGAAGGCTTCTGCATTCTGAAATGCTTGTCCTTGTATACAGAAAGATTAAATGCAAGACTGATAACAAAAGTGTTACGGATAAAATTGTGTATTACATGAATAACTTGTACTAAACATCCTTCTGATACTGTGGGTAGCTAAGAAGCTTTGTGTATGTGGATAAAATCTTAGGCTCCGTGGAATGAAAACCAAGAAATTCCATTTGCCTTTTGTCCTGGGTTCAGCTGCAGCAGTCTTTTTTTTTTTTTTCTCCTTAGACACCTTTTTATCCAGATTGAGAGATACTATACTTCCTAGGAGAAGGAAGGTTTCAGTTAGAAAGTGTAAATTCACAGCCCTAATCAACAGAAAATACCTGTAATGCTTTAAAAGTTCTGATACGTATATTAGCTTTTAAGTTGGAAATTCTGGTGACTGTCAATACTTTTTCAGAGTACCTTTAGTATCTGTATCAGTCTGCACTGTTACTTGTTTGTCTTTGCTCTGTCTGTTCTAAATCTGAATGCTGCCACAAGCTAGTAACAGAATGTGCTGCTGTTTAAGTTGAAATGGCATGCTGTCTAGTGCAGAGCTAATACACTCCAGTTAACAGTCAGCTCCACCTCTTTAAGTCTGTTCTGGGATCTATCACATATGTAAGGTGGAAAAAAGGGGAACAGAATTTATGAAAGCTGACCAATAGCACCACTTTCAGGATCAGGAGCAAAGTCAAAATTACTGTGTCTCTACATGCTGAAGTCTGTTATACCTTTCTTTTTCTTAACTGTTTTCTTGTGCTAAGTGTTCACATTAGTAAAATCAAATTAGACTGCAAGCACAATCTGGGCTACAGAGCCCATGTTCAACTTCTGACATACTGAGCTTTACCCTAAAGCAGAAGTCTAGCGGCTTTCTGTCTGGTTCCCTAGGTTCTGAAATCACTTTTCGGTTAAATGCAAGAAAGCTTAAATATTTACTGAGGAAATGAGGGTGTTGAAAGTTCGTCTTCACATTTATCAAAAATAAAAGTAACGATGAAGAAAGACTTAATGTGTTTCTACATACAAATAGACTTTTGTCTATGACTACAGGGGCAGCAAGAGATTAAGTACCATCATGATTACTATCATGATGTGTGGGAAGATGTGGTGAAGTATGGGAATTTGTAACCAGTTAACAGTGGATTAGGAAACTATATTAATATTAGTAAATGTGCTGTTTGCTTCTATACTAAACATGCAATTTGAAAGGAATTAAAGAAGAAAGTAGTGTCAAGTATTCAGCAGAATAGTAGAATCATAGAATAGTTAGGGTTGGAAAGGACCTTAAGGTCATCAAGTTCCAACCCCCTGCCATGGGCAGGGACACCTCACACTAGACCATGTCACCCATGCCTGTCCAGCCCAGCCTTGAACACTGCCAGGGATGGAGCATTCACAACCTCCCTGGGCAACCCATTCCAGTGCCTCACCACCCTAACAGGAAAGAACTTCTTCCTTATATCCAATCTAAACTTCCCCTGTTTTAAGTTTGAACCCCTTATCCCTTGTCCTGTCACTACAGTCCCTAATGAAGAGTCCCTCCCCAGCATCCCTATACACCCCCTTCAGATACTGGAAGGCTGCTATGAGGTTTCTATGCAGCTTCTCTTCCCCAAGCTGAATAGCCCCAACTTTCTCAGCCTGATTTCTTACAGGAGGTGCTCCAGCCCCCTGATAGTAGCTGGTAGCTTTTGCATGACACAATAAATCTTGCTGGTAATAGTAGCTACCAAAAATCTGTAATCTTGTCACTTTTTCCCAGATAGAGGACAGACTTGACAAATCGATTTTGATAGAAGAAACTTAGTGCTAGATGTTAAAGCAAGCTGTCATACCTAAAGTTCATGTAAAATAGTACCAAGTGAGGCCAAACTTTCTTTATTTTCTGTTTTTCCTTTTTTTTTTTCTTTCCCTTTTTTAGGTTATGTTGTCACTTCAGCTTTGTGTTTTAAACACTGCAACTCTGTTAACAGGAAAGATGACAGACATAACCAGTATGGTCTGAATTTTCCTTGGGAGATGGATGTGAAGCTGTTGTAGTGCTATGCCATATGATGGAGGAACACCCAGAGTTTCATTTCAGCTGCACTTAGAACAAAACCATCAGTGTATTTCCATTTTAGTTTCATTTGTTCTTAGCTCCCTAACAGCCTACTTAGTACAGCTCTTTCAGTGTACAACAGAACTAGCACTACATGAAACAGCAATGAAGAAAACTTTCTTTGCACCCAATAGAAGAAGGTTTGGTTGAATTTTTTGGTGTTCTGGTTGTTTGTTTGTTTGGTTTTTAATGGCAAAGAAAATAAGATGGGGGTTTGCTATACAAGGAAGTTGGACTGAGATTCTCCTTTATCGACTGCACAAAGTGCTCAAAGTGAAATGTCATAGGAAAAGGTCAAATCTAAGTCTGAACGCAGCCAGAATATTCCTGGTCCCTAGAATAAACTACTTTCTTGGGATATGGTATATATCGCTAATGCGACTTTCAATTTCTCAGTATTATGGGAAGATGAAGGAATATTTCTTTGATCTTTCACAGAACTTCTCTGTTGTCTAGGAGAAGATATTTATAATTCCAGGTAGATAAAGCTATTTTTACCTAGACAGAAAAGTCCTGGTTTTACCTGTGATATTAAAAAAGTGCCGAGACCTAGCAAGAGCAAAAAACCCAAATCCTAGATATATGTGTAATCTCCTAGCTCCATACTAAAACAATAGAAGACCATAATTGCCTGAGTGCATTCAAGTAGTTGTCTGTGTGATAACAGATATGTAACAGTGGTTTAGTTCTGCTGTGATCCCTGTGCACCAAATGGTGCAGTTTAGATACCCAAGCTACTCTGGGTTTGTCAGTTTGGGACCAACAGGATCTCACCATCCTGGAAAACAGAGCTGACAACCTAAAGGAAAAAGCACCTCAGTTTAGAAACATGAAATATACTATTGTATTTATTGCAAAATACTATTTTCTAATGCTAACTTGCATGACAAGAAGGAAAATGTAAAAATTGTCAAAATACTGTGATATTTGGGAAGACTGTTCTTCACTGAAAAAAGTTACAATCAAGACCTAATTACTCATATGTAGATTAAAATCTGTAGGCAGAGACTGTTACAGAACTGAACAGGTTTTTTCACATAGGCATATTATGCAAGTACATTTGCAAGTTTGCTGAAGACAAGAGAATGCCTATTGGCAGAAGGTAACCCATTGGTTTTACAAAAAGTGCCCATGTATTATTCTTTAGGTCTATGAAAGGCACTGATTGATTAATAATATCCTAACAACATACTGTAAATCACCTCTTAAGGGTGGTGAGGCACTGGAATGGGTTGCCCCAGGCAGCTGTGAGTGCTCCACCCATGGTGGTGTTCAAGGCCAGGTTGGACAAAGCCTTGGGTGACATGGTTTAGTGTGAGGTGTCCCTGCCCATGGCAGGGGGTTGGAACTTGATGATCTTAAGGTCCTTTCCAAACCTAACTATTCTATGATTCTATGTGGAGAGTTGATTTTAGCATGAAATACAGCATAATTCGCATTCTTTGTAAGATATATGTGAGTCAATTCTTAGATTTTAATGGGTAGAAAACATGCAGCAAAAGGGCTTTGACTTGAGGAACTAATGAGTTGCCAAGGAGTGTACTGGATACATATCTGTTTTCTTATCACCCAAAACATTCCACACAGATGGCCAGCATAATCATCCCCATTTTCCAAACAGAGACATTGAGGCACGAGAAAGAACCAACTTGCCTAAAACTGCTCAGTCTGGCAGATGGAAGTGGTGAGCAAGCTCCTAAGCCCCACTGCAGCAACCTTGGTAAATCCTATCTCATCCCATGGCAATCTCTCCTGCCTAGGCTGTTCAAGGCTAATGTGAAGATGCTTCTCAGCTATCTCTAGCATTATCCACCCTGTAACTAGCACCACAACAGCCCTGCTGCTGTGGAGAATGAGGCTGCTGAAGGCATTCATTTTGTTGCACCTCAGGTGAGCTGTGGCAGGGATGGAAGGCAAAGAGGCTTGGAGAAACAGGAGGGCTGCTGACTGACACAGGGCTTCAGGGAAGGATTTAGGAGCTTGTATAGCAGCCTGGCAGCAGCTGTGCTGGTTTTCTATGCCTTGGCCTCATTTTGCAGGCAGGTTAAGAGTGAATGCATGTGATACACTGAGGGGAGAGAGGCTGGCAAGAAAGTGACAGGGAATGGTGGAGCAGAAGCCAAACACCTGCTTAGTGCCAGAACCTGTCATAACAGCAAAGCCCTCAGCAGGGTACAGAGCAGCCCCACAGTAGGCATGTGGTTCAGGTAGGTTTAAATCTCACTGCTATGCCCATACTGCTAGGCTTGATAAAATAATGTCAGTATTAAACTGAGATGGCAAACTGCAGGTAGCGCACTGTGCTGAATAGCCTAGATAGAAAGCAAGTTATCAGAGAGGCCAAGACTGTACTCCTGGTTTTAAATAATGCCTGTAAGATACAATAGAATGTGTTTCCTGTTAGGGCTATATAAGCACTGTAGCTATCCATAGGAAAGGAGGAGATGGCATTCCATCTTTTTACCTCAGTGTATAGCAAGGCTTATTTCATATGAATTGGTTTGCACAGCTGATGGCAGGGATTCTGAGGGTTTGTTTTTCTTGTCCTAAATGATTGAACTATGCTTGAAAAGTATTCAGTTTTATGTTCTTATGCCAAAATAAATATTCATGCTTGGATTTAATCAGGAAGAGATGAATCACTTCAAAGTCACACAATTACTTAATCA